TCCCCCAGTGAGGGGCTGGGGGTGTGGCTCAGTGGTAGAGCCTCTGCCTAGAATCCTCCAGTGAGGGGCTGGGGGTATGGCTCAGTGGTAGAGCCCCTGCCTAGAATCCCCCAGTGAGGGGCTGGGGTGTGGCTCAGTGGTAGAGCCCCTGCCTAGAATCCCCCAGTGAGGGGCTGGGGGGTGTGGCTCAGTGGTAGAGCCCCTGCCTAGAATCCCCCAGTGAGGGGCTGGGGGTGTGGCTCAGTGGTAGAGCTCTGCCTCAAATCCTCCAGGGAGGGTCTGGGGACATGGCCCAGTGTCTTCTTTGTGTTGCTAAGGATGAAACCCAGGGCCTGGCCCTTGCTAGTCAAGTGTTCTACCACTGAGCTATACCCCACCCCCAGGAGACTCCTCTTGATACTGTCATTCAGGCCTGTCTCCTGGTCTCAGTGACTAGAACTTCTCATTCCAAACTAGATCAGACCCCACCCCCTTGGATCTGCCTACCTCCGTTGAGTAGCCCGGCCCTCCCCACATCAGCCGCTCACCAGAAGCTCTGTGATGTCAGGGTCCTCCGGAGCCCAGGGTGGTACAGGAGAAGCAGGTGGCCCCGGCAGTGCCAGTGGACCACTGTCCTCCGTGGTGGAGTCTGTGCCTGAGGAGTCCGGCTCCATTGCAGCCAGGTTGAGCAAGGACACGTTGGTGCAGGCTGAGGACCGCTTGAGGTTCAGGCACCAGTGCATTGGCTCGTGGGACATCCGGGGCTCCACCCTGCAGGTGACCCAGGAGATGGTGGGGATGGGGGCCTTATGTCCTCAGCACAGGGGCTGCACTCTCTGAGCCAACGGGTCTCCTGTTCCCATCACCTACCGTGCCCCTGCTGCCGGCTTTGGGCTCCCTGCTCACGCCCCCCTCCTCCCAATGCTCCCCACCTCCCGCGGCCTGCCCTCCCTCGGCTCTCGTGCCCTCCCTGGCCCCTCCTTCCCCTCCAGCACCTATGCTTTGCTGTAGGCAGTGTTGGGCACTAGGCCCGTCACCAGCAGGGAACAGGAAACCCACCCATGGAAGGACACGGCCTTCTTTTTCTTCGTGATCCCCTTGGTAGGGCTGGTCACCCCCCCGGGAGCCTCGGGGACCAGCTGGGCGCGGCTCTCGACCCCCACAGGTGGGTCCCCCGCCTCATGGATCTCTTTGGACTGCCAGATTGTCTTCACCACCACGCTTGCCATGGCGCGGGGGGCCTGCTCCCAGGGGGAGACTCACCATCTGCTCTGCCCGCCCCCCGGCGCTCAGGGTCCCCTAGCTCCTGGCCTGGGTCATAAAGGGCCTAACCACTGGGTCACAGGGAGGGGCACGAGGGAGAACCTGCAGACCTCGGTGGACTATTCCGCGCCCCCCACCCCCCCACATTCTGGTTCTACAGCTCCCTCATTCCAGTCCAGAGCACACAGTGGGCCGGGCGCTAACCCTGCAGCCAGCTCTGGGATTCAGTCCCAGGTCGTCTATCTTGCTTCATGCCTTGCCTGAGATCTGAGAGACTTAACAGGATCATTTCCAAGTCCTTTCCTGGAGGACTTGGTGTTCTGTGGCGGTCTGGGAGGCAGAATTGGGAAGAGAAACACCGAATAAAAAGACCCCAGCATTAGAAACGCCACAGGGAGAGTCAGGAGAAGTCATGGCATACATCGGAACTTCTCAACACGTGTTTGGGGATTTAGGATTCATACTGTGCGTGAATTTTACCTGCTAAAAAAGAACCCAAGCCAGGTGGTGGCGGCGGCGGCGGTGGCGGCGGCGGCGGCAGCAGCAGCAGCGGCGGCGGCGGCGCACGCCTTTAATCCCAGTACTCAGGAGACAGAGGCAGGCGGATCTCTGTGAGTTTGAAGCCAGACTCGTCTACAAAGAGAATTCCAAAACAGCCAGGGCTGTTACACAAAAAACCCAGTCTCGAAAAACAAAGCAAAATACAAAAACAAAAACAAAAAAGAACACAGGAGGCTAGAGAGATGGCTCAGTGGTTAAGAATACTGGCTGCTCTTCTAGAAGTCCTGGGGTTCAATTCCCAGCCTCACATCGTGGCTCAGAAACATCCATAACTCCAGTCCTAGAGTGTTTTAGGATCCGATGAACTCTTCTAGTCTCTGGGAGCACGAGGCACACGGGGCTCACAGACATACATGCAATCAAAACACTCATATACATGAAACAAAAATGATATCTCAAGATAATAGCTGGGCGGTGATGCTGCATGATTTCAACCTCTGCACTCTGGAAGCAGAGACAAGCGGATCTCTGAGTTCGAGGCCAGCCTGGTCTACAGAGTGAGTTCTACGACAGCCAGGACTACACAGAGAAACCCTGTCTAGAAAAACAAAAACCAAACTAAACCAAAACAACAACAAAAAAGAGTTTAAGGTTAACCTTGGCCACACAGCAAGTCTGGTTCCAGTCTGGGATACATAAGATCAGGTTTCAACACCAAAACCAAAAATTGAGGTCAGCCTGGGTTATAGAGAAAGTTCAAGACTAGCCTAGGCTTTGCGGTGAGTTCCAGCCTAGCATGGACTGAGCTGGACCCTGTGTCAAACAAAATAAAAACTAAGATGTCTCAGAAAGGCTGAACCTAAGGCTCAGGTGATACAATGCCTGCTCAGTGACCTTCCTGAAGCCCTGGCCTCCATCGCAGCACTGGGGAGACAGAGGCAGGAGTTAGAATCATCCTCAGCTACATAGTTTGATGTACAAAGACTTTGGGATGATAATATTTGAGTGATCAAGGTTAAATAAAGTGTGTGGATGGTCTTTGTTACATCTAGTTTTGTTTATATTAAAGATTTTTTTTTTTTGTTTTGTTTTTCGAGACAGGGTTTCTCTGTGTAGCTTTTCGCCTTTCCTGGAGCTCACTTGGTAGCCCAGGCTGGCCTCGAACTCACAGAGATCCGCCTGGCTCTGCCTCCCAAGTGCTGGGATTAAAGGCGTGTGCCACCACCGCCCGGCTTATTTATTAAAGATTTATTTATTATGTATACAGCATGTACACCTGCAGGCCAAAAGAGGGCACCAGATCTCATTACAGATGGTTGTGAGCCACCTTGTGGTTGCTGGGAATTGAACTCAGGTCCTCTGGAAGAACAGCCAGTGCTCTTAACTGCTGAGCCATCTCTCCAGCCCTCAAATTTATTTATTATGTGTGTGTGCCGTTCTGTGGTGTGGAGGCCAGAGACATCCGATGGGAAGTAGATCTCTTCTTGTACCATGTAGGTGCTGAAGACGAAACACAGGCGATGACCCTGGACAACAAGCACTGACTACTACTAAGCCCTCTTGCTGGCCAGTTCATTTGGAGACAAGGTCCCACTACAGCTGAGGACGGGCTCAAATTCATAGCAATCCTTCTGCCACGGTTTCCCAAGTAGCTAGGAAAATAGGCCTGTCCTACCACGACTAGCTGGACTTGGAATTTTCTTTAAATCATTTATTTAAATTTATTTTATGTACATTGGTATGAAGGTGTCAGATCCCCTGGGATCTGTTACAGTTGTGAGCTGCCATGTGGGTGTTGAGAATTGAACCCTGGTCCTCTAGAAGAACAGCCAGTGCTCTTAACCGCTGAGCCATCTCTCCAGCCCTGGACTTGGAATTTTGAGTTTAGGTCATTTTCCAGGCCTGAGAGTCTCTCTGGCTGTGGAAGGGTCCACCAGTGTGTAAAGTGGCTGCTCTGGGATGGCACAGTGTGCTAATGTCTTCTCAAAGTAGTTCCAGTGGCGGGGACAGGACTTCATTGTACATAGGGACACCCGTATAACCAAAATGAGTTAATCCACCTGTTCCTTGTTATTTTGTTGGAAATTTGACAGGTATGCATAGACATTATTACACTTCCATTATACTTGGCTACTGTCACTCAGGGGATCAGCCAATGAATCCTTGCAACAGACACCATATGCCAGTTCTGAGGATGACTGTCAGGGACCCTCAAATCATCATGGCCATCAGAGATGATCTGAGAGGTGAAGAATGAAACTCAAGATAGTGACATTTTTGCAGGCACTGGGTTATGCCATCCAGGGACTGACTTCATGGTTTAGATGCACTGAAATTCCCTTGCAAAGTAGCAAAACACCTGTGACCTTTACAATAAGAATGAATTCTGCCTGGAGATGGTGGTCCACACCTTTAATCCCAGCACTCAGGAGCCAGAGACATCGGATCTCTGAGTTCTAGGCCAGCCTGATCTACAAAGTGAGTTCCAGGACAGCCAGAGATACATAGAGAAACCCTGTCTTGAAAAACAAAAACAGGGCTGCTCTTCCAGAGGTCCTGAGTTCAATTCCCACCAACCACATGCTGGCTCACAACCATCTATAATGAGATCTGGTGCCATCTTCTGGCCTGCAGGCATACATGCAGGCAGAACACACTGTATACATAATAAATAAATCTTAAAAAAAAAAGAAAAACAAAACGAAAGAAAAACAAAAAAAAAGAAAAGAAAAGAAAAGAAAGAATAAACTTTAAGCCAGGGGGTGGTAATCCACCCCTTTAATCCCCAAATCCCAGCACTGGTAGGCAGAGGTGGGAGGATTTCTGAGTTCAAGGCCAGCCTGAACTACAGAGTGAATTCCAGGGCTACACAGAGAAACCCTGTCTCCACTCCCACCCCAAAGGAGTCTATTGGCTGATAGAGCTCAGGGCTAGGGCCTGAGCCAATAACGATAATCATAAGGATGGATTCTATTGGTGGAGGATGCAAAGCACATGGGGCCTCTTTCATAGGGATGTGCTCTATTCACCGAGAGATAAAGCTCAGGATACTGGGGGTGGAGGGGTTCGAGCGAGGGTTGGCTAATAGGACCGCACAGCATCACCAGGTTTTTTGACTGCATCATCCCAGCATTCAAGGTGATCAGGCAACATTCATTTCTTCTAGTGAAGAAAGCAGGCCTGGTTTCTCCGGTGCTTCCTCTAAGTGGTGCTTCCTATAGATGAAACCACTGGGTTTGGGGGAAGGCAGACTGGGCCCCTTCCCCTGACACTTGTGGAGCCTCGGGAAGCTGTTGCTCTTGGTCTAGGCTTAAAACAAGCCTGTGAGGGACTGGAGAGGTGGCTCAGCAGTTAAGAGCACTGGCTACTCTTCAAGAGGACCCGGGTTCAGTTCCCAGCACCCAGATGGAAGCTCACAACTGTCTGTAACTCCAGTTCCAGGAGACATGACGCCCTCATACAGACACACATGCAGGAAAACACAGACATACATGAAGGAAAACACTAATGAACATAAGGTAGAATAAATATATCACTAAAAAAACAGCCTGTGAGCTGGGAGAGATGGCACACACCACTAGTCCTGGACTCTGGAGGCAGAGGTGGGAGGATCTCTGTGATTCCAGGCCAGCCTGGGCTACATAGTTAGAGTCTGTCTCAAAAAGAAACAAGCAAGCAAACCACCACCACCACCACAAAACGAAGAGTCTGGGGATGTGTGGGAACACTGATGTTTCCATCTACCCTTGAGGGGTCCTGGAATTAGGAAGGCCTTTCTATATACTCAGAACTCAGTAACTCCACTGTTTTACCAGGCTTCCTGAGCAGAGAATGGAAAGAGATATCTACTAGCTAATTAGGGAGAGGCTTTGTATATTCTTGGGACACTTTATATCCCTTCTTCACATCTCTCTGTAGAGGATTAGTTCAACCTCCATTGCTAATCTGTATCCTTAAATATCTTATCTTTAATACTTAGCTCTCCAGAAAACAGACGTTCGGATTTTATTCTTTTTTGCAATACTAGTGATTGAACCCAACATTTGGGCATGTTAGGCAGGGGCTCTACCACTGAAACATGCCCTCTCATTGGGGGATTCTAGGCAGAGGCTCTCCTCTGAGTCACACCTCCAGTCCCTACTGGGGGATTCAAGGCTATATCCGTAACCGTGTTTTTTTATTTTTTAATTTTTTTTTTTAAAGATTTATTATGTATAGTGTTCTGTCTGCATGTATGCCTGCAGGCCAGAAGAGGGCACCAGATCTCACCAGATCTCATTACAGATGGTTGTGAGCCACCATGTGGTTGCTAGGAATTGAACTCAGGACCTCTGGAAGAGCAGTCAGTGCTCTTAACCTCTCCATCTCTCCAGCCCTTGTTTTGTTTTGAGATAGGGACTCTATGTAACCTTGGCAGTCCTGGAACTCTCTACATAGACCAAGCTGGCCTTGAACTCACAGTGAACTGCCTCCTATTGCCCAGGACGGGGCGT